CAGAGTTTAGAAACAATCCGACTTTGGAGGTACATGCCCTAGGGGGGTATATATTTTGGGGGAAGAAGTTTTTAAAGATATATATTGTGACGGTTTAGGATGGCATCGGAGACATGACTGGGCATGTTGGGTTCGGTGGTGTAGTGGTAACACACCTGCCCGCAATCACCAGACCCGGGTTCAATTCCCGCCCGCTCCTTGGCGTTCTTTCGGCCTCTTATTCCTTCCAAGTCGCGTCACTCCTTCACCCTCCGTAACAATATTTTTGCTTTTGTAAAAAATTAATCCTATGAGGATTAATCCATCGTCTTCGAGACACTTCATAGAGGACGTGTAACGTTAGGCCAATCGCAGGCCTATTCAGTCTCTCATGGCTCACTTAACAGCGAGCGTGTAACGTTAGACCGAATGTAGGTCTTATTCGAGTTTCATCAACCATTTCAGAGCTATCGAGGAACATAAGGCCTATCCAGAGTTCCTCGAACCATTTCGATTCGTTCCGAAAAGAAAGTGCATTTAGAAAGCATGACATACACGCGTGCCGTCATCATGTTAATTTAAGGTTGTCCGGATGAGATATCTCCGTATTACACCAAATCGATTGGCCATTGCAAACCACCGATTCAATCTCAGCTCATCCCATGAATTCAGCACAGTAGTGTTTTCTACATGAATAACAGAAGATCCAGACAATAATACTGAGCCCGAAGAAGTCATAAAGCTGACTTAACGCCGACATGATATCCAGCAACATTGGAGGACGGAACCGGAGCCATTGTGCTAAGTCTAAATCAACAGCATCTAATTTAATTTTTTATGGGGAAATGGTGCACTGGACAAAACGGACTCTTTTTGTCACCTGCAGATCATTTGGTCTTTCATTTGGTAGTTCACTTTCCCCAAAAACTTCCCAGGGAGTGGCTACCCGGGGGGGGGGGGGGGGGGGGGGGGGANAATGTAATTTTTTTGCTTCAAACATATGAACGTGGAAAGCTGAAAAGTGACATGAACGTACCTACTGAGACTATGAGTTCAGGAAAATGTCAAGTTTTGGATACATGCCAAACTCACCAGTATATCCAAATACATAATTGGCTGATATGTATGCGCATCATTTTGTGTCATTCCGGGAAACTCTAATTGTCTGTATGCAAATATTCAGAGAGTTCCACTTCGTACCCTTAAAGTGAGACCCGTCGTTCTATTTTGAAAACGCCCAGGTGGAATAGGGTTACGATTTTGAGCTCGGCCCTGGAGCGGAAAGGACCGCTCTAACCCGTGCATCCGGTGCGAGCGAATGCATAATCTGAGACCGCGAGTTCTGAAGCTCGGAGGATTAAGCAGGCTTTGGACCCGTTCGTTGGGCAATCGAGTTTCAGGTCGAGTCCGCACCATGATGCGTGAGCAATTAGCTCTGGAAGGCATTCGGTGTAATGCTATTTTTATTATTAAAATTTGGCCTTACTATATAAAAATAGGTAGATTTTTGGACTTATGATCATAAGCTTTCGATTGACGTCTAACTCATGAAAATCCGTTCATCCATCTAGGAGGAGTTTCCCGAAATTACACCCTGACACGAACAGATGATCCTCTCATGCATTACTTATATGCACCGTATATGGATGAGAGATGGCCGGCCATCGAATCCATACAACCCATCCCGAAGAAAGTGTTTTTTTTTTTGGCGTACAGGGAAATGCTCATGAGTTTGAGGTTTCCCAACATGACTGTCTTGCACGGTTACCATGCCATAGGCACGCTTCGCCACACTGTCTTCTTCCGCGGCATGCCCACTATTCTGAACCGTTACACCCGAAAATGCGTTTCTACGCAGATCTGCAAGGTTCCCTCGGTCCCCCCTTTGGCAATTACGTCATCAGAGACCTGGAGTTCTCAAGCTTAGAGGCGTAAGCGGGCTTCGGGCCGGCCGTGTCAGTTCAACACATTGCGGCTTGAGGGGCTAAAACTCGGTCGACAATTGCGTCTCGGGTCGGACGCGAGCCACGATTCGAATCGGGCCGGTCGAGTTTCCACTAGGAGAAGCCGACCCGTTCAGGCCTCCGACGCGCAGAAAGACAGGAAAACCCATAGAACCCACGTACCCAGCATACTCTTTGGATTTTTGGCTCAATAAGTATCGCCACCTGGTCATGAGCTTTTGATTAACACCTCAGTTTTTAGTGTTTGTTCATACGTCTAAGAGGAGTTTCCCGGAATGACACAAAATGATGCGCATACATATCAGCCAATTATGTATTTGGATATACTGGTGAGTTTGGCATGTATCCAAAACTTGACATTTTCCTGAACTCATAGTCTCAGTAGGTACGTTCATGTCACTTTTCAGCTTTCCACGTTCATATGTTTGAAGCAAAAAAATTACATTTGAAAATATCTTCTCCTTGAAATGTGTGCCCCTAGGGCATTTACCTCCTAAGCCTGAATTTTTCTCAATTCAGATTCTCAAAAGCTACTTATATATCAAGTTTCACCTTTCTATCTCTAGCTAATTCCCTAAGACGAAAAAATTATTTGAAAACGTCACCCCCCAAAAATGCCCCCAGGGCATGCATCTGAAACTTGACATTTTCCCTGAAATTTATGTCCCAGTAGACTCGTCCATACCAAGTTTCAGCTTTCCATGTCTCTCCGTTTGACTGAAGTAAATATATATAATTGAAAACATTTCCCCCAAAATGGGTGCCTTTGGAGATACATCCCCCAGGGCCAGGGCCTCCTTTGGAGGCCCAGGGCCTCCAAAGGATTTTTTCTGAACTCTGCATCCCAAAAGGTAAATGTGTGCCATATTTCAGATTTGTAACATCTCTGGAACATGGCTAGAATTAGCGTCAGTCAGTCATGATCATCTACAGGTGTATGCAAAAGTTCTTGCGGTTTATTCCCCAACTTTTATTTCAAATAATTCAAATAATAACAACACCATCTAATCAAAATATTCCCCTTTTGAAGCAATGGTTTTCTCCCATCTATTGGGCAAGTCGTGGATTCTGTGCCAAAAGAATTCGTGGCCAAATGTAGCAGATAATAAAAGTGCAACCATAGAGCAATAGTTTACAAACACCAATTAAATTCAGTCTTTGTTATATATAAAATAATTGTAGACCGCAAGAACTTTTGCATACACCTGATATATATATTAGATGGGAAATTTTTATTTTGCTTGGGACGATGCCGAAGGGCGTATATTGCTTATCAAAAAATTGATGCCATCTTGAAAAGAGGGTGAGGCATTTCCTGCCGAAGGTGGCCATGTAACCATCAAGGGTGCTGGTCACCACAGTGAACATCCTCACCCTACTTTCATTGTGATTATGTTCACCCCTGGGGTGGCTGTCCAGTGTCAAAGCAAGCACACTCTTAAGGGTGCGGGATCACACCGTTATTATTTGCTGTGTATAATAAGCAGCACAAACTTGATGACATCTCATTTTAAGACTCCATGGTCCACTTAGCGTAGACACGCCGAGAACTTTCCCCTCAAGTTCCAGTGCGACTCAGGCGCAGCTCGATTTTAAGTGCCATTTTCATTGGAAAAATGTGTTTAATTTCGTAACGTTATTCTGCGATACGTTAGTGAATTGGAACTGATGGCAATGTTCAGGACAAAAAAAAAGTTCGTCATCCCAATACATGCACTCTGGTTAAAGTGCAGGCTATTGCTGATGCCATGCGGAGATACCCAAGAAATTCAGTGTGCAGACATTCCAGTGAGTTGGACGTCAGCTATGGGTGAAAGGCAAAAATTACGAAAAAGGAAGTTGATCTGTATTCTTACAAGCTGCAAGTCTAGTCTGCATGTCTGCATACATATTTGTTAATCTTCTTAGTTTAGGCGTTAACAAAATACTGATTGAGTTCCTTTTCCCGTGTCTTTGTAGCTAGCCCATGGTTGATGTCGCACTCGCTGGAAAGTCTGCGCACTCATTTCCTTTGAAATCTCGGCATTGCCTCAGCAATAGCCCGCACTTTAAACAGAGTGCATACATTGCGACGATGAACTTTTTTTGTTCTTAACTTCGCCATCACTTCAAGTTTTGCTCACACATCGCAAAATTGCTTTACGAGATGGAGCATCTTTCGCAAAAAATGGCGTTCATGAACTAGCTGCGTTTGATTTCCCCTTGGACTTGAAGGAAACATTGTAGGACTCGATGTTGTTTCTGCCATAGATCCATGGTGAATAATAATAACTCCTTTGAATGTGTGAACATTACTTAAAGAAATTGTTGAAATGTAGCTGCTAGCTGGGGAGATATTTCAAAGTTGAGTGTGTCTGAAATAAAACTATCACCCTGTATCTACTGGGTGTTGCACATAAATAGCCCCCCCCCCCCTCCACAGCCTGAACTATATGAGCAATGAAAAATTTAAGAAATATTCGGGATCCTTGTTCAATTTTGATTCTATCCGATCCCATTTTGCTGTTTGGGATGCCATACGGTATTGAAGAACTTTGCTCGATGATGGCATCCGTGCTCTGACGTTTCGAGCATGTCGTGATGCCTTAACTGAATTCGTTACTCATTCCTGGGTCCTCTCGGTCCCAGATGTGACTCTTTCGCATGATGAAGCCCCAAGTTTGAAAGCTTCGGCCGCACAGCAAATCTTGAAAGACTTGGGGATTGAATATTTTGCTGAATGCCCTGGAAATTCTCCCGATCTGAATTAGGCAGAGAACATTGGGGCTATCAGGAAAGATCGAGTTGAGACTTTCGTGCACATGGAGGGCAGGCAGCATGATTTCTCCTGATAAACTTTGCATAGGAACATCACCAGAGTGTTGAAGAACATGACAGATGACACGGAACTCTTTTTGCGTCTCTTGATATCTTACCCCTTTATTCTTGAAACTGTCAGAGATGCAGCTATGAGGCACACAAATTAGTAGAAGTATTTCTTTGGATTCGAAAATGAGTGATCTTTCTCATGCTGTATGAGTTTTGTTCCTTGGTGTTATACAGAGGCTTAAGCTAAGGATGGGTAGGGGGGGGGGGTGTACCTACAGTATGTGCAACACCCGGTATGGTCAATCAGACACACTTGGCACGGATATGAAATGGACTGCATCGAAATACTCCCATACATCCGGACAGAAGACATTCACTCTGGGTGCAAAGATTACTCCCTATATGCATAACAGGTCTGCAAGTAGCCGCTATGTCTCATCAGTTGGAGATTGCAAGTCTGGGAAGGCCCTTCCAGCTGGGATCTCTATACGACAGAATAACGGACAGCCTCGTTGCTGGCGTCACCTTGTGGAACACCGCAACTCTGAATAAATGTCGGCAAGTTTCGGAGACGGAATCCTGCGAAACAGAGATCATCGTCGAGGACACCTTCCAGAAGATGACATCCGCCTTCAAAGTCGACGGAAACCTCAAGCTCAGTTTCCTCTTGGGATTGGTCGAAGTGTCAGGTAAAATGAAATTTTCCCATAGTTGTGAGGAAAACAAAGGAGGCCGTTGATAGGAACATAACGCGACAAAATATTATACTCATCACCTAATTTGACGGATGGATGAAGTCGTGAGTTGTCTTTTAATTCTTCAGACTGCTAGAAAACCTCTGAAATTGCCACAATGAAGGTGGGAATCCTACAGAAACACCGCTAAAATTTTTTCGAAGAACATGAAGATTCTTCAAGAATTTGGTTCAAGGGAGATGGTTGAAGTCAAGGGGAAAATACGTAGTATGGTTCATGTTTTCGCTGCTGTTGGCCTCAAATCCTTTTCTTTAACCACACACCAGCTAATTGAATATAGCTTGGTAAAAGGAAAAATAGATTGTGATTTTCGCTATTCGTTTTCCATTAGGTTCCGGAAATTACCTTCGAGATCGGAAGCTGTCTTCTCATGAAGCCCGCGTTGACTTCCACTTCAAATCAACTAGTAAATTTGAAGCCCTGTCGATGGAGCACCTGTCGTGCAAGAAAGTCCAGTTTCCAGACGTCCTTCAAAAAGGCATTGCAACCCACGTCGTTGCCGGTATTCAGTACGGGGCAGATGCATTTTTCGTTTTTCGTCACGATGTGTCCTCTTCCGAAGGAAAACGAAACTCTGAGGTCGAACTGAAACTGAAGATCAGCGAGATTTTTCGACCGATTCTCTCCAAATTCGTTGCCATCGAACCCCATCTGGGGAAGATGAACAAGACACAAGCGGAAGGAGGACGAACTCGCATGACTTGCACATATCACGGCGACATAGGGTTGGCAAAGACTCCAACCACCGTAGAAGAAGCCATCGAGACGTATAAGATCCTCCCGGAGCTAGCTCGCCAGAAATGCGTCCCGAAGACGATTTACCTCCTTCCCCTTCACACTCTGTTCGATCGGTCCATGAGGATGGTTCGAGAAATTGGCGGCGGCATTACGAATGACGTGGAGACTCTTTTGGAAGGCTTGCATGAACTGAACGTCAGAGCCAACGATCTAGCAGCGTCACCCCTTTGCGATAAATTCCCTGGAATGCGAACTCAATTGAAAAAGTTCAACTTTCTCCTGGATCTATTCCGGCGGAACTTCCAAGAAAGTCTCCTTCCCTTGGTTAAAACCGTCCGAGCGTCAGACGACGATGAAGACATTCTTTCTAATTTTCTCAAAGAGCAAGCTTCATCACCATTTCAGTATAAGAAACTTTCGAATTGGCTGCATGTCAAGGAAGCCGAGGTTAGAGTAATTGAGAAATACATGGAACGCTTGCAAGGAGTCAGAATGGCCTTCAGTCCTCCTGAATTCGAATCCGTCATCCATGACCTTACCTTCCGCTTCGTCGTCTGCTTCAAGTTCAAGTGCATCCCGGACAAAGACTCATATCTGCACGAGATGTCTCGTTACTTAAGGCCAAAGGAAAAAGTGAGATCCCCTCCAGGCGCGTTCCCCAAAAAGTGGTATAAGAATGAAGAGGCAGTAAAGGGACTGAGAGAGGCTACCAAATACTTTTTTGGCCTCTTCAAAGCTTGCAGACAATCGAACGATATCCAGTTCGTGGTGACGCAGAAGATACCTGCTGCATGGAGTAGCTCCCTTTGCAAGATCGTCTGCTACATGGATGGAATACTGGAGACTTTTCTTCCTCCTGGAAGACCTGGAATTCCAAGAGCTCTAAAGAAGATGGGCGACTATATCAAGTTGACATGGGACCCCCCTGTGCGCGGAGCAGAGTCCATCCAGGGATATTTAGTTTCGTACAAAGCAGATGGTTCCGAAGAATGGGATACGTGCAAGGTTCAAACCAACTCCTCAAAGACCACTGTGGGTGGCCTACGGTCCAACACGAAGTATGTCTTCAAGGTGAGTGCGAGTGCTCCCATTACTTCCATTGCAGAATATAACCACGATGGTGCCAATATAACAGAATCGCGTAAAAATTATCAGCCTGAATTTCCAATTTCATGTTAATACTGCCCATTGTGGCATTTCTGCTTTCAGGCCATCCTTTACAGAAGATCGAACGCTGCCTCAATATTCAGGATGCGTAAAATGAACATAGACGATGTCGTTGACAAACGATGCAGGAAGCGCGTTGCCATTTTAGTATTTTATTGACGGGTGCAATGCAGTTTATTCATTGTAAATCCATCGGACCCCCTGCAATTCCAGTTTTTGGTTTGGAACCTCCCATTTCAGTTTTGTTGAAGTTGCATAGTGTGTACAGATAATTGGTCAATGTGTATGCCACGTACCAAACGTTTGGAGTGAACTTTAGTCTAGCTCTTCAAACGAGGTAGTTTTCGTCGCGGCAAAAGTGGTCGCGGACATTTCGTCGCACACAAAACGTCGAATGCACTTTTGGTCGTCGCCCTATTTCGTCGCAAGCAATGATAATGGCACGGGTGAAAGGGGAGAACCCAAGGCGAACAAAGAGTGGAACATAATAGGGCCCCAGTGTTCCTCATAGAGATCAGATGGGAAAGGGAAGGGGAGGCAAAGGGTCGCAGACATTTTTCACGCCATTGTGAGTCGTTTTGCGTTCATATGCGTGTATCTAGAGTCGTGTTAATGAAAGTGAAATACCTCAATACTTATAAAAGTAAACAAAAGCTTCACTATGAAGGGCATCTTTATACTGTAGAGAGAAGTTTCGAAAAGATAGCATGGCAATGTGAGCTGCGAAATTGTAATGTTAGGATGCCCACAATAAATGAAGGAGTGGCCACGTCTCCCACTGACCACATTCATGCACCCAGTTTCTGATCATGTGCAGGTGGCAAAAGGCAGTAGGGGAGCTGAAAATATTACAGAAAATATTCAGCATGTTCAATTTGAAACACTACAAGTGAACAATGATTCACAGATTGAATATCCAGTTTTCAACATCCATTCAACAGGAGTTCAATAATGGTCACCGTGACCTGAATTGAATGAACATTGAATCATCGTTGACTTGCCCTTGAACCCGATTTCACCAGTTGAAACGGTTCCCATCGTTGAATTACCGGTGACAATTTTGTACTGGAAGCCGCGGCTCAAAATTCTCAGGAACCCACATGAAGACTTGTGCAAGATGTGGTTCTAGCCCTTGTTATGCCCTGGTGACAAGGAGCGTACGACAATCGGTGTTTGCTACAAAATGGTGCAACGTCCAAAAGTGCAAGTGACGTTTTGTCCCCGACAAACTGTCCGAGACCATTTTAGTCGCGACGAAAGCGCCGGTCACGCCTGGACCGACCAAATGAGGTTTATTTAGAGTGGAACCTGACATTCTTCAGAGATCTTCATGGAACGAATATACCGATAGAACAGAGCTCCTAGGAGGGACGTCAATCCAGACGTGTGGAACTAGAGCGTACATTCACTCATATCCTGTCTTGAGGAGAAAAGAGGATGCCCAATATAATTATATTTTTGTTCATAAACCGAATTCAATGAATCATTCATTTGAAATTATTTGAGAGTCCTTTGCACAGTAATAAAATGCCACTTTTACTCCAATCTGAAGGGTTTGAATAAGTTAGGTTAGATTATGGTAGGTTATAATGAAGTTATTTTGGATGAGTTTTTCATCAGAACACATACTTTCAACAGTTTTGAAAGAAGGGAAATGCAGACTATGAAGAAAATATCACAATATAAATACAAGTGCATTTTATTTTGTAAAATCTAACAATGTAACTGAGCATCATTAACTTTCATATCATGAATCATACAACCTTTCATCTAGGTTTTCCAATTCCCAGCTGAAGTTCACTGATTACTTTCAAAATGATGTTTTAAGTTGTTAGAATGGGGAAGGCATCTATTGCAACTACAATCTACAGCAGTAAAATAACTTAACCTAACCTAGCCTAACTTTTTGAAACTCTCCACATTTGGATTTTAAAATTATGAATGTCATATTCACAAGTGAAACCGATTACATACACCAATTTAATCAAAATTGGTTTAAAGCCAAAAATGGGCAAACCGAACCTCAACCATACCTTAACCTAACCTAAATTTTCGAATTGCTCAGATGTGAAGAATAATTACATTTTTAGGTTTGACTAAGGACGCCCTCTCGAAATATAAACATCTTTGAAATTGGTTTAAAAGCCAAAACTGGGCATACCCCTTTCGAAGCCGCATCATGGGACTCCTCCATTTCGTACGTTCCTCCCAGCCTCACCTTCATTGAGCCACATTGCCTCATTGATTACGGCTGTACCCAACAATCCAGGAGCGTGAACCAGGAGCCAAGTGCATTACGAGGGTGATTAAACAATTTTTGACCAAAAGGGTGAAAGAAATGGTTTAGAAAATAAATTTTGTTTCTTTGCATTAATAAACTTTCTAAAACCTTACAGCAGAAATAAAACATTTTGATTCGTTAATAATCACATTTGAACATTACACTTTGCATATTCATTGCAGCTATGAATTCGGATGATTACTCAGATGATGTCATGTGCGCCTAACTTCATAGCTCTTTATATGTCCCATTTGTCAGAGGGAAAAAATCTTAAAATGTTTCCCTTTCATAAACCAACCCAAGGGGATACATTTTATTACTAACATTTTTTCTGTACACAATAATTCGTTAAGTAACTCTGCTCCAAGTTTCAACTTTTTACAACATTCTCTTCAATTGGATTAAGAAAGATTCAGGAAAATGTGTATTTTGCAAAAACAAAGTGCCCTGAGAGGTTTTACAAAATATAGCATTATATATATTTTTTTATACTGAAAAGAGTACTCGGAGAACTACGTGCCCACCAAGTTTCAGTTTTATCCCTTTGCCCTTTTCCATAGTGCAAAATATCTGGAAAATTATTAGGAAAAGTCGACTCACCAAGACCTGTGCCCTGTGGGTAGGCACCACAAAAATGTTTTTTTTTCTGAACTCAACATCACGTCAGTTATATGTTTGCCAAGTTCCACCTTCTGTTTCTGCCCACTCCACTAGGACGAAAAGAAATTCTGTGAAAACCTCACTCCAAAAAATATGCCCCTGGGGATACAATGGAAACTTAACTTTTTTCCTGAATCAGTGTGTCAGTAGTCACGTTCATGTCAAGATTCGACTTTCTATGTCTCTCCGTTTGACTGAGCGAAGTATGACTCAAAGAAATGTGTTTGCACATATTTCTCTGAAAAGATCTCTCCCCAAAATGGGTGCCACCGTGGTATGTATCTCCAAAGTCTGATATTTTTAACTCTGCATCCCAATAGCTACTTGTATATGAAATTTTAGATTTTTAACTTCTCCAAAACATGGTTAGAATTAGCGTCTATCTGTCAGCCACTCTCTCAGTCACTCACGATCGTCTACATACAATCTTGGCCAAATAATATCATCACTGCAGTGTGCGTGTAAAGTTTTAGCTTTTCTCAAGTTTTTCAAGGATACTATAATTTTCAATCCCTAAAAAAATTACTACTAGGATAGCGGCAAAAATTTGTGAATGTTTTTACGGCCAAAATTTATGCCCTGAGGTCGTGGACGAAATAATTAAGCATTTCCTTGAATTAATTTATCCCAGCTCTACGTAATAGCGTATTTGGCTGAAGCGAAAATTATTTGAAAACTACCCCACAGACATAATGATACCAGGGCATACATCTTTAAAGTAAACATTTTCTTGAAATTAGTAAATTATTAGGCACGTTCATACCCATTTTCTGCTTTCTACAGGGTGGGCCAAAAAATTCCGCCCCAATTTTTAATTGCACATAACTCAAAAACTATTGAAGCCACAGGCTCGAAAAAGCAGCAAATTAAAGCTTGTTCCTTCCTCTTTAAAATAGTCTACAGGTTCATTGTAATACGTGTCAAGGCATGGCCGCCATGGCCATTTGAATCAACCATGACCGAAAATAAAGTTGCAAGGTGTTGCTACTGCTACAGGCACCTTTGTTTCTGTCCTGCTGTGAAGAGGGGAAGACACAGTTCAATGGCTGGCTACTTTTTCACCTCCCACCCTTATCACTTTCTGATAACCCGCGGTGGAAACTTGCCATTTTTTGCCCTGAGTAAAAAAATTGAAAAATTAAAAAGTGAATACTGACGCTCAGATGAAGCATGCACGCGGCAATTTCTCGTGGAAGAGAGAGCAAACATCGTTGCTGCAGGATCGCAATGCGAAGTTAGCTAAGCTTCTCTGCTGAAAGCTTGGAGTGCTGGTCGGCTGTTCATGCACGTTTCAGCATAAAAATGATGTGATATCAGGAAGAGATGACTGGGGAGGGTGAAAGACACCAGTAATGTGGAAGAAAATGGATTTTTAATAGGGAAATTAAAAACATGTGGGCCCACCCTTGACAGCTCCATACCGCCACCCATACTGGCTACTGCTGATATCTCTGGTGTTTCCTGCGCACTTTTATACCTGTTACTTCTTTGCATAAGTCCGGCTCGCATCATTCACTACTTACGGAGGGGTGTCCAAATACCTTGGAGAGTATAGTGTATCTGAAAATTAACATTTTCCCGGAAATGAGCACTTCAATAGGAAATTTCATGTCCATCTTCAACTTTTTACGCCTTTGCGTTTGGCTGAAATAAAATAAATTATTTTTAATGTCCCCCCACCAAAAAAAAATACGCCCCGAGGGCACATACCTGCTAAGTCAGATTTGTTCTGAACTCCACACCTCAATAGTTACTTGTCTACCAAATTTAAGATTTCTAGCTTATAACATTGTTAGAATTAGCATTAGTCACTCACTCACTAACTCACATTTATATATCAATATATTATATTTCAAAATTGAATGGTTAGGATGCGGCGAACAGGATAATTCCAGTGGTTTCGGGGCCATTGGTATGGCAGATCTGTACCTGAACTAATACTCTCTAGTTGTTATTTTAACGGGTTTCAAAACTTCCAACGTATGTGCCACGTTCTGTTTCACAGGTGCAAAGCATTTGGGCAATCGGAACTACCGAAGAGAGCGATTGCAGTCTTTCCATCGAAACCACGATGAAGCCTTTGCACACACAGTGAGTCCTCCTATAATAACCTCTTCGTTCTCGGGCATTTCTCTGTACATGCAAGTGTAATACTTTCTCAAAATACCTCCAAAAGCACTTTGAAGGGTTTTGGAATCCAAAGCTGTCTTGCTTTCCTTCATGTATACATTTTAATGTTTGAAAAGTAGACCACGATAACGTGGCCAAAAAGGGGGGCTGCTGACTCCTGCTTTCCTCAAGAACTCTCTGTACAAACTCATTATATGACTGAAATATCATCCAATATTCTCAGATATCATGAGAGTACCTGATGATACCTAATATTTCATTAATAAACTTAATGCTCCTTAGGGCTTTTTCTCATTGCTTCTTTATTTACTTTTTGTTTCCTTTAACCTCTCCTGCCTGCCAATTAAATGAGGAAATTTTTAGAGCTTCTCGCTGTAGAATCACCTGACGCCCTTGAAAGTCAAATGAACTTCATGATACTTAGCCATGAACCAAGATTCAATACAAAGTATACATGCCCTTACGGAAATGTCCTATAGGAAACCTATAGTTATTTCTTATAGGAAACCTATAGACTTTCATATAGGTTTTTGAAACACGAAAAACCTATAGGATTCCAATAGGGTCCTATAGGTCTCCTGACCTATAGGATTCGGGAAGGATAATTTGGGTTTCGAAACACAGGCTTTACGACGGAAAAGGCGACCGGGGTTAATATTGGCACAGCATTTCGGTGTAAATCAAAAACCGATCAGGGGTTTTTCCATGGTAGGGACACAAGCATTATTAATACCAGTACTGCGGGGTCTGCATAATTTATGGCCCCGCCCCACATGTGTCGCTGGATTGCACGTCTACTTCGTTGGGTAGGAAGAAGTAGTATTCTTCTCTCGACCTCAGGAAATAGACGACAGAACCTGCAATCACGATCTCTTTACTAAAACTCCTTTTGGATAGTGTACGTGAGTAGAAGCCCATCGACAGAGGATTGAAGGCTTTCGTCTTCAGGTTGAAGTTCTGAAATTGAAGATAGATGAACCAAGGTGAGTAGTAAGAATGCAACATTGAGTCTCTCACAATTGGAACAACCGATGTGGTCTTTGCACCATGTGCAGCGGATTACCAAGGCTTGCATTACGTACATAATCCTCCTTTTCAGAATGTCATACGCATGTGATCCACGCCGACTTCTCCCCAACTTACGCTCAAAATGGAATACGAAAAAACCTTCCCGACAAGGAGAACACTTGGGAAGAAAGGGAAGTGACCGCTATCCTTCGTTCATCAGCCACGTCGCCTCGTTCTATGACCTCAAAACATTGACAGATTTTCTAAAACGTAATCATGTTTTCCCGCTCCACTCTTCATTGACAACCTTTTTCTGGACAATCGCTTTAGGCGATAAATCCCGCGTCCCTGGCTCCTTTGAAACATGAATTGTCTTTTAAATCTATATGTGGATATCCATCTGAAGCAGTTAAAACTCCAATCGATTATTTTATAAAGCACCAATGGAAGTTTGTGCACCGAAACTCATCTAGACCACCCCACTGCCACTCGCTTTTCCACTTTTGGCGATAAGTATTCAATATATTCGGCTATTCGAAGTTCCTGTCGACCTGACTTTTTCAGTTGAATAATAAAAACCGAAAGGAGTGGAGAGGCTAGGACTCTAGGGGCTGAGGTGAAGTTTTCGTTAGTGCATTGAAGAGAGCTTCCAACAGGCCAATTCCCTCTATCATGCAGCACGGAGTACCAGTGCTTCATTGGGCATCATGGTATCCACCAGTTGCCATGGCCTACGCACAAAGCGCTCACCTCTACTCAATGAAGCAGTATTGAACCTTCAAGAAGATCAAAGCCGCAATCATGTACTAAAGCTTTCATTGATAACCTAATATACAACAGGCACAAGCAATTCATTGAGGGTTGGTAAATGATGCATGATCCTAGTAGAAAGATTTTAGGTAAATGGTAGACAGTATATATTAATGCACCATAGCAGTTACATAAATTGTGTTACCACAGCATGCTGACTGCGATGGTAACATAGTTGCTGCCTACACGACTACTTTCTTTATATTCTTGTATATAATTACTATCTGAGCCCCGCACAAGAAATGACAATGTAGCGCTTTATAAATGTCAATAATACTGAATAACCTGAATGTACAATATATGATCTCTAGAAAAGTATTTTAACTCAATCATTGAACGGTAGGAATATAAATTTAATATCTTCCTTTTTATTGAAGAAAACTTGAATGAATAAAGAACGTCAGATTTTGGCTTGAAAAAATTATACAGTATTTTCAAATCATATACGTCTCAGAACACGACATTCAGTGTATGAATGTCATCATTGCCTGGGTACCGGCTTTATCAGGACCCAGGCTCTATCATAATCTTTAGCTTTTTGCCAGCGTTGTCCACTTGAGAAAGCCAAACGCAACTGTTTGTGGGAAAATACAACTTCTGGAAGGTAAAATCCATTTCGTTTGAATGTTTGCCCCGTTACTCTTGTTGATAGTCATGGCAAAAGGTAACAGATGATAAACTGTTTGCCGTTTGATCGTGGGAGGCCTCGTCGGGTCTGGCGGTAATAAGGGCATATTTATTCACGGGACTCCATGATTATATCTGGAAGATGGGGATGACAAATAAGGAACTGTCAAAGTTTATTGATTGCTACAATGAGGCAAGGCGAGACATTTGGGGACGTACAAAACCCTCTTGTGAGAGATGATTCTTTGGGTAAGGGGAGGGCACTTTTGTGCCTTTTGAGAAATGTAAGAACCCAATACTTCCATCTAGTGACCTAGAGGAGAACTTCAAACGGAACCCTATAGGCCTATAGGGTTCCGTATAGGCACTATAGGGAACCCTATAGCCCCTATAGGGAACCCTATAGGTCCTATAGAGAATCCTGTAGGTCCTATAACGAACCCTACAGGTCCTATAGGGTACTCTATTGGTTTTATAGGGAACCCTATGGGTCCTATACAGAACCGTTTGGGTCCTATAGGGTACCCATAGTCCTAATGGGGAACCCTATTGGTTCTATAGGGGGATCTATAGGTTCTATAGGGGGATCTATAGGTTCTATAGGGAACTCTATAGGTTCTTTTGGGAACTCTATAGGTCCCTAACTGAACTCTATGGGGCATATAGGATCCTATAAGATTCCTTTAGGTTCCTATAGGATTTCTATATATTTCTAAAGGAATATATAGGAATTCTATAATACATTTTCGTAAGGGTGGGCATTGCAATTTTCTTACAAGCGAATGTTTTCCAATTCCACTTTAAAAGAATCCTCATCCTTTTTGTATCCTGGCATCCTTAGTTAATATTAAGATGACATTCGGAGTATTACAATGCAAAGAGATCATTCCTGATTTCGATTATGTCCATGTATTTTGAGTACATGTTTTGGCAGCGATTCCCCTCGTCACAATTAAATGGCGAAAAAGTGCAAAGAAAGCATGTACGAGCTACTTTTGCTGCTATGAAAAAGAATTTGAATGTACCACGCCTCCACGGGTTTATCTCATGTTCCAGAACCACTTCTTCACACTTATTCACTTAAAAACCTCTGTTCAGCTCAAAGTCAACATTGCTCCAGTAGGTTTACGGTGCGGAATAGTTTGAATGAGTGTTGCAACTTCTCCCGGATTCATCTTTAGATGGTACGTGAGTAGAAGCCCATCGACAGAGGATTGAAGGCTTTCGTCTTCAGGTTGAAGTTCTGAAATTGAAGATAGATGAACCAAGGTGAGTAGTAAGAATGCAACATTGAGTCTCTCACAATTGGAAAAACCGATGTGGTCTTTGTACCATGTGCAGCGGATTACCAAGGCATGCATTACGTACGTAATCCTCCTTTTCAGAATGTCATAAGCATGTGATCCACGCCGACTTCTCCCCAACTTACGCTCAAAATGGAATACGCAAAAACCTTCCCGACAAGGAGAACACTTGGGAAGAAAGGGAAGTGACCGCCATCCTTCGTTCATCAGCCACGTCGCCTCATTCTATGACCTCAAAACATTGACAGATTTTCTTAAACGTAATCATGTTTTCCCGCTCCACCCTTCATTGACAACCTTTTTCTGGACAATCGCTTTAGGCGATAAATACCGCTGGTATTTATTTATAAAAATCCCTGGCTCCTTTGAAACATGAATTGTCTTTTAAATCTATATGTGGATATCCATCTGAAGCAGTTAAAACTCCAATCGATTATTTTATAAAGCACCAATGGAAGTTTGTGCACCGAAACTCATTTAGACCACCCCACTGCCACTCGCTTTTCCACTTTTGGCGATAAGTATTCAATATATTCGGCTATTCGAAGTTCCTGTCGACCTGACTTTTTCAGTTGAATAATAAAAACCGAAAGGAGTGGAGAGGCTAGGACTCTAGGGGCTGAGGTGAAGTTTTCGTTAGTGCATTGAAGAGAGCTTCCAACAGGCCAATTCCCTCTATCATGCAGCACGGAGTACCAGTGCTTCATTGGGCATCATGGTATCCACCAGTTGCCATGGCCTACGCACAAAGCGCTCACCTCTACTCAATGAAGCAGTATTGAACCTTCAAGAAGATCAAAGCCGCAATCATGTACTAAAGCTTTCATTGATAACCTAATATACAACAGGCACAAGCAATTCATTGAGGGTTGGTAAATGATGCATGATCCTGATAAAAAGAATTTTGGTAAATGGTAGACAGTATATATTAATGCACCATAGCAGTTACATAAATTGTGTTACCACAGCATGCTGGCTGCGATGGTAACATAGTTGCTGCCTACACGACTACTTTCTTTACATTCTTGTATATAATTACTATTTGAGCCCCGCACAAGAAATGACAATGTAGCGTTTTACAAATGTCAATAATACTGAATAACCTGAATGTACAATATGTGATCTCAAGAAAAGTATTTTAACTCAATCATTGAACGGTAGGAATATAAATTTAATATCTTCCTTTTTATTGAAGAAAACTTAAATTAATAAAGAACGTCAGATTTTGGCTTGAAAAAAATTATACAGTATTTTCAAATCATATACGTCTCAGAACACGACATTCAGTGTATGAATGTCATCATTGCCTTGGTACCGGCTTTATCAGGACCCAGGCTCTATCATAATCTTTAGGTTTTTGCCAGCGTTGTCCACTTGAGAAAGCCAAACGCGACTGTTTGTGGGAAAATACAAGTTCTGGAAGGTAAAATCCATTTCGTTTGAATGTTTGCCCCGTTACTCTTGTTGATAGTCATGGCAAAAGGTAACAGATGATAAACTGTTTGCCGTTTGATCGTGGGAGGCCTCGTCGGGTCTGGCGGAGCCAAGTCAATAAGTGGAATTTAAACTTTGTCCTTTAGCTCTGCCAGTTTAATATCTACACGTCCAACACTTCTCGTGTAGTCGCACAATTAAGGCTCGAGCTTCGTTAACCAATAATTGTTTTGCTCTTGGTTATCCGAGGCCACACTGTCGATCCTATGAAAGGTATTCTCACATTCTCATGTCGGCATATTTATATTAAGCTTTTGTTGAACAGTGCATTAATAATCACACAAATATGAAAGTAAACTCGCACACAACCGCTCACATTTAAAAACACGCTCTTTATACGCATCCTGTCAACAACTTGAATTTACAGGGTGACCGGAAAGTGCGGAAACATTAAAAAATGCCAATATCCCGATGCCATAAAGAACAATAAATGTTTTTAATTTCATAAGAAAGAACATAAGAAAACCTTTAAAATTAGTTAAACATCTTCGAAATAGCCCCTATTGGCAGCAATAACTTTTCTGAGGAGTTTTGGAAAATTGTCCACAGTTTCTCGCAGCTGTTTCACAGGGATTTCGTCCCATGCTTTCAGCAAAGTTGACTTGAGGCTGTGCAAGTTTTCGGCTGAGTAGCACAGACCTTTGCCACCAAAAAGGACCAGATACAAGTCCATCGGATTTAAATCAGGGGAGCAAGAGGGCCAAGCTTCTGGACCGATAAAATCTGGCAACTCGTGCACGTGCCACTCTTTTGTCGACCGGCTGGTGTGAGCTGGGGCATCATCTTGTTGAAATGTCCAGGAAGAATCCCCAAAATGATCCCTTGCCCAAGGATAGACAACCTTCTTCAGAACTTCATTTTAAAGTAATTGGCATTGATTTTGATGTTAGGAGCCACAAAATGCAAGGGTGTTTTACCGTCGACTGTAATGTCACCTCAGACCATGACAGACTGGGGTTTTTGCATTCTTTGCACAAACCAAGATTCTGAGAAGACTCTGGACCCTTTTCTGGTCCAGACACGATCATTTGGGGATTAAACGCTTGCTGAACTGTAAACACTTTTTCATCTGAGAACACGATCCGACGGTGTGAGTTTCGCTCGAATCTCGCCAGTAGTTTCCTCGATTTTTGCTTCCGCAATTTATTGTTCTTCTTCGTAAGCACCTGAACTACTTTTTTTTTTAAAGGGAAAATGCCCAACTTCTTTCTAAGATAGGAGCGCAGAGTTTTGCGCTTCATCTTCAAGTGCTTTGCAAGACTTCGGCACTTCCGTTTCGGGTTTCGATCGAGAAGCTGTTTGACACGCTTTCGAAGAGCAGGATCCTTGAAGACACTGGGACGGCCACTTCGGAGTCGATCCTGAGTTGTACCGAGTTCCTTGTAGCGGGCAATGGCTTTGTACACAGTGGATCGTGGCAGTTTCAGCTCCTTGATGATCTTTGCAGGTGAATGACCTTGCTGAAACATGTAAATCACAGCTTCTCGGCTGGGTTTCGATGCCATATCTGCACCGGGAAGAGTCATATTTGCGATGCAAAAAGATTAAGCCTAGAGCTAGACTCGTGGAAGAAATGAAGCCTCGCACTTTAAAATTTTTTTTAACATTTACAAGTCTCCGAACTTTCCGGTCACCCTGTACACAATTGCGTAAAGAATGGACTTTGTAGTCCCGTGTCTCATTTCAAAGGAAAGAATTTCAAACTTTTGTGGGCACAAAAAAAAACTTTCGTTTTCACTATTGGAGGAACTGGGGTTTAGAAGCCTGCATTTTCTGTGACCCAGCCTAATCGTCCCTACCTGACCCCGGGCCGTCTAGCGCCGAATTTTTCATGATCTTTCTAATGGTCAGGTCGGACGAAATTTTATCATTTAAATGTTAGCGTTCTTCTGGTCTGATACCATGGAAACTCCTTGTTATGACTGGAATCTGATTTATCCATGGAAAGTGAGAGAAGGGAAATCCCAAATTGTGTGAAAATTAATATAAATAAAGGAAGGAAAATATTTGCTAGGCATAGGGTAGTTAGTGCGTCTCGAAATAGAAATCTGTATGGCTCTTTCTCTTCCAATAAATTTTCTCTTGTCAGTCGACTATCGACAACCTCCTGTTTTGGAAAGAAATTTGGAATTATGAGGAAATACACAGTAAGGCATTGGTTAAAGCATTACATTTTTAGCTGGTCGGGTCGGGCCCTGAAGTTGAGTTAGAATTCAGGTTTCGAGTCGGGTGCGGGCCCTGTCTTGAATTGGGCCTATCGGGTCTGGTACCGGAAAATCGGGCGTGCCGATAATAGGCCGGACTTTACCGGAAGTAGCATAATGGTGAAATATTTGATAGCATATATCTGATCGATCTGTTGATGGTTAAAATTTGACTGCATGGTGCACACCTACTGACCATACGCTTTCAAACGTTGCGTAACATGCTATGATATTTTTAGCATAACATCGCAACGCGGCTTACATACATTAGCTTATTATACAGTGTTTCAAAACGTATGTACTCATGAGTATTTTGAATTAATTAAATTTCTCAATGAATGAGTGCACCAGTGCACCGTTTGAGTGCGCAAATTAGTACAGAAATACTAAGTAATATTCAGAAGGGGTTATGTGCTAGGATTGATGTGTGTATGCAATTTCCTGGCATGGAATTTGAACATTTAATGAAATAAAGGTAAATTACGAAATCTGCCTGAGTCCGGACTTTTGAAACACCATATGTATATTGATGATATATATATATAATTTTTATTTCACTTATTTCACTCCCACTTCGTTTTTTTCCCTCTCGAAAATGTTTGATCAAAATGCAGCAAAGGTGTTTTCTAGCATGAATCAGTACCCTTAACTCGGTGCTAGTAAAAGTTGCAATGCAGTAAATAAACCTCTCCACCAGAGTTAAAAAGGGATTTTTGAGAAACCCCAAGTCATTTCCAATTAGCAAGTAATGATTTGATATGAACTAGTCAGTTTGCATCGGATACGCAGGAAATAATAAAGGTGAGTGTAGGATGTGCGATGGTTGAAAAATGGGTGTGCATGTATTTGGGGGGGGGGGGGGGGCATTCCAGCCTCTGCCTGTTCATTCTCCCAAAGAGGCTCGCATAGCATTCTTAAGGGTGTGCAGGCTCTCCGTACTATTAGGTGGATGCATGTGATCACCATGGGGTATGCTTTCATATGAAAGTCTGGAGTCATTCTCCTCCTTGCCAGAGGGATGACTCCTTTGGTTAAATCCTAACCCCGGCGTCCTCATCTCTGGCTCAGCTGCAAAAACAGGGTCGGATTAGGGTGTTAGAAGCCCCGAGGCAAAACATGTACAGCCCTTGGCCTAATTGCGAAAGGGGGAGTAACCGAAGATGATATCATGTGGTCAACTTATCTCATTTTGCATCATACCCAGTGGATTCGTTTAACCAAGGCCCATTCATTGTTCGCCTATTCAGTAATCAGATATGGATGTTATCCTACTGTCCTTTTGCTTTCATTAGGCGAAGCTACATTCATGCATACATAAGGTTACCATTACCGATGTAAGATGGCATCTCAGTCTCCAACCAAGTGGGTCGTCTGTAAAGAAACTTAGCCACGCCTCTCGGATTTCTTCCACAGAGTACCTGCATTTTCTCCTGCTTACAGTTAAGTGTAATACATTAGAATCCCACGATATTAACAAAATCTGAAAATCAACCCTGTCAGATGTCTGGCAATAGTGATCCTAGGAAGAAGAAGAGGGATTTAGGCTTGAAGATCAACCCACTACGTACTTCCAGATCAAGTTCGGAAAAGGATTCCCAAGGAGAAACATTTCGAAACCTTTTCTCTTGGTGTCCTTTTTCCCTCGTGATGTGACAAGATCGCAGCGGCGCCTATTGTGTACACAGGGGAATACGATATGAGATCCTACATGTGGTGAGCATTCGCATCTTACTTGTATGGCTGTCATGCTCTCCACTAGGGTGCATGTCCAGTGACAAAGCATGCACACCCTTAAGGGTGCGAGATCTCACGCTAATTATTTGCTGTGTAGTGGGAGTGAAACCAGAAGGCCACAGGTTCGCGAACCTTAGAGAAAATATTCTATGGAATCGCCGTGAAATATTTCTACTTGGGAATTTCTTAGTCTCCAGAAACATTAAATTATTTTTGGCCTCAAAAAAATCTCATCTCAAAGTGTCGTTCGGTTTGGGTGCATGTTATTGTGTGGCAAATGTCAATCTGGCAAAATAAAGAAACAAATTCATTAGCAAGTACATATTGGGTCCTGCTTTTCATGGAGGCAGGTGAATCCACCAGATAAAGCATGTGATGTACATTTGCTGTATCCTGCTCTTCATATACCCCAAGTAACAATTTTGATCCAAAATAAATCCATTGGACGTACCCTCATGGAAACGTGGACATCCAATATACAGGGTGGGCCAAAAAAAAGTGAACCATTTTGGAAAGATCATTTCTCCCAAGCATTTGGCCAAAACTTAAAAATGATGATATCACTGTGTTATTGCATTCAAACACATTTTGATGCCAAACTAAGGACGGAAGAACAGTTAAGATTTAATTATTTTTTGTGCAGAATTGAGCCAGATGCATTTTGAGTGCTTCAAAAAAGTAAAAAGAGCATTTTTGAGTAACATAGCACCCCTGAAGGGAGGTTCACTTTTTTTTGGCCCACCCTGTATATCCTCTTCGGACATCCACTGGATGACTAGATGTCTCGTCCAAGCATGATCCTTGGACATGTCCATAAGATTGCCTATTGTATGTCCGTTGTTTTAAATATCCATTGGAGTTTCCCTATGGAAAAGCTATCGGATGATCATTGAAGGATACAGCAATAGCAATAGGAAACCCCATCCCCTGGTAGGAATGAAGCATAACTCGAATGCTAATTAATATTCGTAGCATGGGGAGGGGTACTTTCTGAGATTTCTCTTTTTTTATTTTTTTATTTTAAAATAAAGGTGGACTGGGACGGACACGCACAGACAACGACAAATGCCACAAGCGGCCAACAGATATGAAAAGGGGAAAGGGGTTCTAGATCGAACATCCCTGACGGCATTGCCACACCTACCAACGCTCTCTATCAACGTGTATCCCGTTTTCACGGGTCTGGGGCAGGTGACGGCAACTTCGATGCCGCTTAGGGCTGAATGTCTTATATCATTGCACATCGGGCCACCAGGGCCGATAGGTCGGGTGCTATTGAGGCGCACCAAACCCCTACCACTCACACAATGGAGCACAGAGTGGCCCATGCTTGAACCCAAGGGAGATAAGGTAGTACCCGAAAGCAGCCGGGTGAGCTGTAGGTCTAAGAGAATACCGCCTGCCGCCGGTCGGATTCAAACCTGGACCTCCCGCGTAATAGTCCGAGTCCCATCCACTGAGCCACGGTGACAGGGTAGTACTTTCTGAGATTACTAAAATTCCGTCCAGAGAAGCATTTAGATGGAAAGTAAGGTATTACTGAGATGTTACTCTCATTTTCCCCTTCTTACCTCTCAATCAAGAGACTGTTTCCCATCGCCAAAGGCGTCATGATCTACTAGAAAATGAAATAGACTCCCTTGGCAAAGGGAACCTCTCTCTCCCCCTTCCCCTCCGTGCAATGTGCAAGAATTGGCGGGAGTCACTTGGAGCCTACTTGGCTACTTGGGTAGCCCATGGGTGATCCAAAACCCGTCCATGGACAATCCAGTTGTACAGAGATGGATACAAGTCCAGAGGCGGTCGTCCGTTGGATGTGCATAGGATCCCATCGCCATGGATCGATATCTTCTCGTGCATTCAGAGCTTTATCCGAGCAGAATTTCCCAACGTCGAACACTTAATTCTTTCCATATTATTGAAAGAAGACCTTATGGAATGGCCTTACAATTATCCGATCATAGGATACATTTTGTTCCTATGTTTTCTTCTAACCTTCCATCTTAGGTCGCAACCCATGAACTTCAATCAATATATAGATAATGTGACATTATAGTGCATGATTTCATTAAGATTTTGACAATAAAAACGAAACGATGTGTCAGTCCTTTGGGCATCCATTGAACGTCCAGTAATGGAACCTCCAAGGACAACTTCTTATGGCCTTCCATTGCATATCCTTGGATGGAATTCCGCGCCCCATTGAGGCCTTTCATCTGATCTGACATCTAGCAGTTCATTCAAGGAATAGCCCACCCCACTTCCCCAAGGAAGTTCCCATAATATAAGCGAGATGGCGCTAATCCCGCAGCTGCATGTTTCCCGATTCCCAAAATGCTAACAAATTGTTCTGCATAAACTTTCACCCTCTACTCGATAATTTCCAACGTACAAGCCTAGAGAATGAAGTCATGCTATTTAATTCATTTGTTGAGAGACGTAACATAGCTCAAGGAGACTCCTGCCAATTCTTGC